TCTTGTCAACAACTCCATCATAATAATAATACATTCTCCTCTCTCAAGCTCCTGCTGATGAACCGTCAACTATGTATCAACTTTGTGACTTTCTCGCCGCGCCGATTGAGCATGTCTGCTCCTTTTCAAGTAACTACGGGCTCACCATAGCCCGTGCTACTTGGGACTTTTTGTTCCAGGTAGCGAATCTTAAACAACAACAACTTTTCAAGTCTGAGGATCACAATGAGCTCCCGAGAGCAAGATCATTATCGTCTCTCGTTATGTTACAGAGTTGCTCGTTAATTGGTTGATATTTCCCCTCCCTCCAACACTCCTCACTCTCCCCCACTGGCTCAAGACTTTTCTATTTTCACAAATGTTAAACTTTCACACAAATCAAATAAATGGCACAGTTCTCGAACCATAATTACTTTCTATAAGACGGAGAGGAGTGCGGGCGTGCGGCTCGTGGGGACTGTGTAGTCTAACACGTGCTGGTCTCATTGCCACGTGCTGGTCTCATTGTCACGTGCTGGTCTCATTGCCACGTGCTGGTCTCATTGTCACGTGCTGGTCTCATTGCCACGTGCTGGTCTCATTGTCACGTGCTGGTCTCATTGTCACGTGCTGGTCTCATTGTCACGTGCTGGTCTCATCGTCACGTGCTGGTCTCATTGTCACGTGCTGGTCTCATTGTCACGTGCTGGTCTCATTGTCACGTGCTGGTCACATCGTCACGTGCTGGTCTCATCGTCACGTGCTGGTCTCATTGTCACGTGCTGGTCACATTGTCACGTGCTGGTCTCATTGTCACGTGCTGGTCACATCGTCACGTGCTGGTCTCATTGTCACGTGCTGGTCACATCGTCACGTGCTGGTCACATCGTCACGTGCTGGTCTCATTGTCACGTGCTGGTCACATCGTCACGTGCTGGTCACATCGTCACGTGCTGGTCACATCGTCACGTGCTGGTCTCATTGTCACGTGCTGGTCTCATCGTCACGTGCTGGTCTCATCGTCACGTGCTGGTCTCATTGTCACGTGCTGGTCACATCGTCACGTGCTGGTCTCATTGTCACGTGCTGGTCTCATCGTCACGTGCTGGTCTCATCGTCACGTGCTGGTCTCATTGTCACGTGCTGGTCACATCGTCACGTGCTAGTCTCATTGTCACATAACATCTCCGTCTCCCTCTAGTGAGGAAGGGGAAACAAGAGGGAAGGAGAGAGAGTGTGGGGTGGAGGTAATGACGGGGAGAGGGAAGGACAAAGGAGGAACGAAAAGGTAATTAAACGATGTAAGGAAGAAAGAAAGGGAAAGGGAGAGGGAGAGAGAGTAAAATAGAAGCTCATACAGAGGGGGAAAGGACGACAGCAGAAAGGGAAATTAACACGATATAATTACAGAGAATTGCGATCATATGACTGCAGAAACGAGGCGGGATACTGGTGGATTGCCAGGGAGACAGGAGAGGGAAGGGAGGGGTGAGAGGAAAGGGAAGGGAGGGGTGAGAGAAAAGGGAGGGGGGACCCGTAAATTGCAAGAAGATTATTGCAATTCACCTCACGCTGCTACTGGGATGAAATAATATCACCATTATTGAAAATATTAAGGTTAAATGGAGAAAAAATCAGATAGCGAACAAAGGAGCAGAGGCAGGAAGAGTGAGAGAAAGTGAAAGGGACGTGTGTAGAGGGAAAGTCAGCGGAAGAGTGAATATCAGAAGTAGAGAAATAGAGAGAAAGGGGAGGGGGGAGGGTAGTGTATGCAAGGAGATGGATAAAGATGTAGATGAAGAGATAAGAGGGAAAGAGGGGGGGCGGGGAGGAAGGAAGGAATTATCAAGGGAAAGCGCCAAGCCATTACGACTATATTGCACTGGGAAGGGGTCAGGATAAGGATTTGGGATGGGACGGGGGTAAAGGAATGATGTCCAACCACTTGGACGATCGGGGATTGAACGCCGACCTGCACGAAGCGAGACCGTCGCTCTACCGTCCAGCCCAAGTGGTTGGGGGGCGGGGAGGAGAACTGGTGTTTACAGAGGGAACGACTGTAACCACCTCATTCCGCTGCTTTATTTTACAGTGCAAGTTGTTGTAGTGTGGTAATGGAAGCTTTCCTCTCAAACCTGAGCCGGACATCTGCCTGCTGTGGCTTAACTGATGTTATAGGTGGTGATAACACACTGAACGTTGGGGCTGATAACATAAGTGTGAACAGAGCGAGTGTGAGTGAAGAACAAGAATTATAAAGTGAACAAATTATGACTGAGTAAATAGGGACAAAGTTTTAAGTGCGCGTTTAAGTTCATTTATATCCATTCTATAGTACTGAGAAAATTGAAATAAATGATCAAGAGTGAACAGAAACAAAATAGGAATGTCAATACGAACAACGAAAGTTTGACTGAAGAAATTGTAGTACAGTCGAGTTCGTTTCCGGTTCTCAATCGGGAATTCCGGGTTCGAATCTTGGGCTGATAAATGGACGAGATGAGAAAATCACGCCGTCCTGATCCAAAGATTTTCTCATAGATCTATCATACTATTGTGGTTCCCTTGTGTATTGGACAAGATGTTTGAGACAAGACGCCGCTCCCGCCCCTAGACGGACCTTCCTGGCATGTTAATTCACTCGAGGTCTGATGGCAAGAAACACTACAAGAATGTTCGTTACTGGCTGCCAAACCATTATTGATTTTGTATTTACATGTTAAATTTCGTAGCGCAGAACAGTCAAGGGAAAGTTAGTTAAGGTAAGGCAATGTTACTAACTAAAGACCAATTAGGTTATAAATTATGGGGAACGCTAACAATCTCTCAACCTGTTTCCTTTATGAGCTCAGGCAAGAGGTACATAATAATTTACACTTTGGAAATAATAAAGGGAATAGTTCCAAATCATCACATGGAAGTAACTCATCACGATAACAGAAGGCAACTCAGAATATATAAAACAACCCATTTGAAAAACTTTGTTAACAGAGAATTTTATAAACATTATTGTCTCAAGAGATGTCAGCACTCCCTTTAAACATAAAAGGCATATACACAAGGAAATCACAATACCTTGATATCTTTATTAGAAAATACTTGGAGCAGGACGAGGATCGAACCTGCGTCCTGGGGGTCACTCTTGACGCGCGCCTTAACCAGCGAGTATGCGGGTTATATATAAAATTTGGACTGGCTAGCTGCTCGATGCCTCCAGACGCCTAGTGGGCCCCGGCGGATCCCAGGTTGTATAATCTTTGCAGATCGTGATCCATGGGTTAAGGCACATCTATAATTGCTTTGAGCGCTGGATCATTCCTCATCCTGATTTCCTCATGAGGGGCATAACTAGTCGACCTCTCTTGGTGTTCAAAAGGGAACTTGATAAACAACCCCCAAAGGATGCCTGATCAACCGAGCTGTGATTCATGTCAGATTGAGGGCAGCTGGTCAACAGACTGAAAATAACATCAACCAGCAGGCCTGGTCAGAGACTGGGCCGCAGGGACACTGATCCTCGAAACAGCCAGGAGGAATGAATAAGGATTCGACGCCGTCCGGCAAAAGTGTTCGGATGAAGCCAAAACGTGACAGTCGAAATATCCCAGAATAGAGGGGTTCGAACCAAAGAAATGGGTAAGGAAAGTTAAGAACGCAGCCCTTCCCAACTTCCCTCCTTCCTCCACAACTTCTCCCGCCATTCCCATCAGCTGGCGAGGGTTTCTGAATTTAGAAAAGGCGCGGAAGTTTAAATCCGTTGCTCTTACAGATTGCCACCTACAACAAAATTTGAATTTTTTTAAAACTGCTCTGTTCGCAAGGTTGAAATTACCTTTGAAATCACTGATTTTGTTCTTTAAATTGTATACGTATTTAAGAAATTTATGCTAACTTGTCCCAATTATCTGGGAAAGTTGTAAAATTTTCACTCGTCTGCCTCTAATTTTTATAACTTACTAAAGTGTCGGCTTCACTACTTTTAGCTCCTAATTTATTCCACTCGTCTAGAACCCTAATGCCAGAGCATTATTTGTTGGCATCTTGTTTAAATAGCCTTTTCTCCACACCGTTATTATCCCCCCTTTTTTTAATTTCAATTCCCTACTTATCTTCCCCCTAAGCAAACCCAAAAATGCAACATGAACTGCTGTAGCTTCTTATGACCCCTCCTTCCATCACTTTAAAATCCCCCCATCACCCCTAAGCCCTCCACTAAAAAATAAACCCACTCCCCCTCTCCAAAGTCCCCCTAGTATATACCTAATAGAGCCTAATGTATTACTGGAAATTCAAGGTGTTGTATGCATCGCAGACGGTAGCACAGGGCTGTGTCAGTAACTCCCCTCTTTGGAGTGCGCGAAGTATTTGTGAGATTTAGAGCTTTCGGGTGGGATTGTGTTGGGAGTGAGGGCATTGGGGAAATGAGTGCATTGGTGGGGGGAGGAGAGCGCAAGGACACACACACACACACACACACACACACACACACACACACAGAGAGAGAGAGAGAGAGAGAGAGAGAGAGAGAGAGAGAGAGAGAGAGAGAGAGAGAGAGAGAGAGAGAGAGAGAGAGAGAGAGAGAGAGAGAGAGAGAGAGAGAGAGAGAGAGAGAGAGAGAGAGAGAGAGAGAGAGAGAGAGAGAGAGGGGGGGGGGGGGGGGCGGGGGGGGGGGGGTTAGAGGAGAGGGAAGGGAACTACCGGGAGAAAGCACCAAACCATTACGACTATATAGCATTGGGAAGGGGTCAGGATAAGCATTAGGGACGGGATCGAGGGAAACAATGATGCTCAACCACTTGGACAGTCGGGGATTGAACGCCGACCTGCACGAAGCGAGACCTTCGCTCTACCGTTCAGCCCGAGTGGTTGGTAGTGAGAGGGAGTAGACCCTGTGGAGTGCACAATGGAGTGGGGGGGGGTGACAGTTGCGTGCGCACGCAAGGGAGCATCAGTGAGTGTGGCTGTGGCGGAGGAGGGAGAGGCACTGCCAACAGGCACCAGAGAACGTACTCTGCACCCCGATGGCCCTGGTGCAAGTTTGTGAATCTCGGCACAGAAACGTTGGCTCGTAAGCTAAATCTGGGTTTTGATTTCTCATTGGTGCGGTGTTTGATGCTCGCGGGTATTGTCAATTCCCAATTTCTTTTCCTCGTCATCACAACCACCGCAAATCTCCCCTGGAAAATTTATTCCACTATCTGGAAAACCATTCCTGGTTTACGTATTCCACCGGCAGGACATTACCATACATTATAGAAGGTCTGAGCGGCACTTCCAGGCGGGCCGGAGCGGCACTTCCAGGCGGGCTGGAGCGGCACTTCCAGGCGGGCCGGAGCGCCACTTCCAGGCGGGCCGGAGCGCCACTTCTTGGCGGGTCGGAGCGGCACTTCCAGGCGGGTCGAAGCACTACTTCTTGGCGGGCCGGAGCGCCACTTCCAGGCGGACCGGAGCGCCACTTCCAGGCGGACCGGAGCTCCACTTCCAAGCGGGCCGGAGCCCCACTTCCAGGTGGGCCGGAGCCCCACTTCCAGGCGGACCGGAGCCCCACTTCCAGGCGGACCGGAGCCCCACTTCCAAGCGGGCCGGAGCCCCACTTCCAAGCGGGCCGGAGCCCCACTTCCAAGCGGGCCGGAGCAGCACTTCCAGGCGGGCCGGAGCCCCACTTCCAGGCGGACCGGAGCGCCACTTCCAGGCGGACCGGAGCTCCACTTCCAAGCGGGCAGGAGCCCCACTTCCAGGTGGGCCGGAGCCCCACTTCCAGGCGGACCGGAGCCCCACTTCCAGGCGGGCCGGAGCCCCACTTCCAAGCGGGCCGGAGCCCCACTTCCAAGCGGGCCGGAGCAGCACTTCCAGGCGGGCCGGAGCCCCACTTCCAAGCGGGCCGGAGCCCCACTTCCAGGCGGGCCGGAGCCCCACTTCCAGGCGGGCCGGAGCCCCACTTCCAAGCGGGCCGGAGCCCCACTTCCAAGCGGGCCGGAGCCCCACTTCCAAGCGGGCCGGAGCCCTACTTCCAAGCGGGCCGGAGCCCCACTTCCAGGCGGACCGGAGCCCCACTTCCAGCCAGCAAAATGTACTTCGGAATAATGAAATACAATTCCAAGAAAAGATGGATGGCATTGGAGATGCCTGGATTGACGGCACTGATGACTGGAAACGAGAATGATAAAATAAACACACATACAGAAATGTGTTTCATATAAATTCATTATTCTGCCTATAGTAAGAATAGTGTATTATAGGCAGAATAGTGAATGAAATCTAGGTAACCAAGATAGTGCATAACAACCAGGTTAGTGTTTATTAGCTAGCAGAGTGGCAGTATGGCTATGATCGTATGCAGCCAGGAATGTGTTTTACAACATAAACATTTAGAGCAGGGGGCACTATGTCAAATTACTGGGAAGCGGAGCGGGCAAGGTAAGAGGGAACACTTCATCAAGAGGACGACAGGTGTGAGGAACACTCTCCCCCCCCCCAGGCCGTCAAGGTCTCGGCAACTTCTAAATACATGATGTTAAGTTGGATGCACAAGTCGGAATAGAACCAGAGCAGATTTACCTATGTACCGTAAGAGGCTGGTACGTAAGTTGGAGAAGCAGACAGGAGTAACTGGTAGGGTGCTCCAGTGGATAAGGGATTTCCTAAGCAATAGGAAGCAGATAGTTACTGTGAGTGGTGAGACCTCAGATTGGCGTGAAGTCACAAGCAGAGTCCCACAGGGCTCTGTATTCGGACCTGTCCTGTTTCTGATATACGTAAATGATCTTCCAGAGGGTATAGACTCATTCCTCTCATGGTTTGCTGATAATGCCAAAATTATGAGAAGGATTAAGACAGAGGAAGACAGCATGAGGCTTCAAGAAGACCTGGAAAAACTGAAGGAATGGTCCAACAAATGATTGTTAGAGTTTAGCCCGAGAAAATACAATGTAATGAAGATAAGTGTAGAGAGCAGGAGGCCAGATACAAGGTACCATTTGTGAGATGAAATTCCCCTAGAAGCCCATACAGACATTTTATTTTTTTGCATAGATATTCCTGCGCGGGCCCTAAGCCTCTGGCTGGCCCACTGGGCGGGCCCTAAGCCTCTGGCTGGCCCACTGGGCGGGCCCTAAGCCTCTGGCTGGCCCACTGCGCGGGCCCTAAGCCTCTGGCTGGCCCACTGCGCGGGCCCTAAGCCTCTGGCTGGCCCACTGGGCGGGCCCTAAGCCTCTGGCTGGCCCACTGGGCGGGCCCTAAGCCTCTGGCTGGCCCACTGGGCGGGCCCTAAGCCTCTGGCTGGCCCACTGCGCGGGCCCTAAGCCTCTGGCTGGCCCACTGCGCGGGCCCTAAGCCTCTGGCTGGCCCACTGGGCGGGCCCTAAGCCTCTGGCTGGCCCACTGCGCGGGCCCTAAGCCTCTGGCTGGCCCACTGGGCGGGCCCTAAGCCTCTGGCTGGCCCACTAAGTGTTGCTTGTTTCTGGTTTACTTGGGTGGAGTATGACATATAAACCTGTTCCCCGAAGCCCATATAAAGAGGATAACATCAGCGGCATATGCCAGGTTGGCCTATATAAGAACGGCCTTTAGAAACATGTATAAAGAATCATTCAGAAACTTGAATACCACGTATGCCAGACCAATCCTAGAGTATGCAGCTCCTGCAAAGAGTCCATATCTCGTCAAGCATAAGACTAAATTGGAGGAAGGTCAGATGTTTATCACCAGACTAGTGCCCGAACGAGGGGCATGAGCTATAAGAAGAGACTACGGGGATTAAACCTCACGTCGCTGGAAGACAAAAGAGTTAGAAGGGACATGATCACCACATACAGATTCTCAAGTGAATTGATAGTGTAGACAAAGGCAGTTTATTTAATACAAGGGGCACACGCACTAGGGAACACAGGTGAAAATTGAGTGCCCAAATGAGCCACAGAGATGTTAGAAAGAATTTGTTTAGTGTCAGAGAAGTTAATAAATGGAATGTATTAGGCAGTGATGTGGTGAAGGCTGACTCCATACACAGTTTCAAGTGTAGATATGATAGAGCCCAGTAGGCTCAGGAACCTGTACATTAGTTGATTGACAGTTGAGGGGCGGGACCAAAGAGCCAAAGCTCAACCCCCGCAAGCACAATTAGGTGAGTACACACACACACACACACACACACACACACACACACAGACACACACACACACACACACACACACACACACACACACACACACACACACACACACACACACACACACACACACACACACACACACACACACACACACACACACACACACACACACACACACACACACACACACACCACCGAGCCGAAGAGAATGATAAGACTCGCTCGGCTTTACCAGAAAAACCGCCACTGAAACTATCGCGCGAACTGGGCACCGGCAGCGACTTCCTGTATATCAATATTTTATTGTGGCCGCTCTCTGTCTCACCTGGCCGCTCCCTGGCCGTTGTGTGTCGTCCCTGGCTCTTGTGTGTCGTCCCTGGCTCTTGTGTGTCGTCCCTGGCTGTTGTGTGTCGTCCCTGGCTGTTGTATGTCGTCCCTGGCTGTTGTGTGTCGTCCCTGGCTGTTGTGTGTCGTCCCTGGCTGTTGTGTGTCGTCCCTGGCTGTTGTGTGTCGCCCCTGGCTGTTGTGTGTCGTCCCTGGCTCTTGTGTGTCGTCCCTGGCTCTTGTGTGTCGTCCCTGGCTCTTGTGTGTCGTCCCTGGCTCTTGTGTGTCGTCCTGGCTGTTGTATGTCGTCCCTGGCTCTTGTGTGTCGTCCCTGGCTGTTGTGTGTCGTCCCTGGCTTTTGTGTGTCGTCCCTGGCTGTTGTGTGTCGCCCCTGGCTGTTGTGTGTCGTCCCTGGCTCTTGTGTGTCGTCCCTGGCTGTTGTGTGTCGTCCCTGGCTGTTGTGTGTCGTCCCTGGCTCTTGTGTGTCGTCCCTGGCTGTTGTGTGTCGTCCCTGGCTCTTGTGTGTCGTCCCTGGCTGTTGTGTGTCGTCCCTGGCTCTTGTGTGTCGTCCCTGGCTGTTGTGTGTCGTCCCTGGCCGTTGTGTGTCGTCCCTGGCTGTTGTGTGTCGTCCCTGGCTCTTGTGTGTCGTCCCTGGCTGTTGTATGTCGTCCCTGGCCGGTGTGTCGTCCCTGGCTGTTGTATGTCGTCCCTGGTTGATGTGTGACGTCCCTGGTTGATGTGTGACGTCCCTGGTTGATGTGTGACGTCCCTGGTTGATGTGTGACGTCCCTGGTTGATGTGTGACGTCCCTGGTTGATGTGTCACTCTCTCATCACTATAACCGTGTCACCCATAATTATTGTTGTCATCTATAATTTGCTGTGCCATCCCCATTGATTTTTGCCTATTAAGTATTGCTTTACGCGTCAACATAATAAAAGCCTCGTGCTACTCCAAATTAAAAATTTTGAGTTCGTTCTCAATTATCGCTTTTTGTGTCGTTCCCAAATTATCGTTTCATTGTGTCACACCTAATTATTGCTCATTAGACGTTCCTAACTATCATATTTGTGCGAATTGTTGCTAAATTATTGTTTTTACGCGTTCATTGATATATGTTTCTGTGATCTGTAAAAAAAATTGCATGGTAAAGTTGAACATGTTCAGAGAGAAAACTGAACATTTACAGACACTATTGTCGTTATGGACGGGTGGACGGGAGGGGGTTAGTAGGTTAGGTTAGGTTAGGTTAGGTTACGGACGGGTGGACGGGTGGACGGGAGGGGGTTAGTAGGTGAGACGGGCGAAGATGGAGTGACAGTCAAGATGTAGAACTGTAACTGTCTCTATTTTCCGCTTGTTACAACTTGTAATAAAGTTGTTACATCTTGGCTTAACGTGTTTATGACGTATTAGAACGTTGTTACAACTTGCTATATTGGTTGTTATAACTGGTTAGGAGGTGTTAAAACTTGTTCGAACGTTGTACCAACGTCGTGGTTTCGGTGTGTGTTTGGCGGGAATTAACACCGGAACTTTAAAGACAGTCAAACAATCACTTAGGAAAGCGTTTTTCTTTATGACTGTTATTGCCGACCTGATCTTATCTCCGTCCCTCCCTCAATCTTCCCTCTCTCTCTTTTTCCCCTTCCATCCCCTCTCCCTCCATCTGAGCTTTCTCCCTCTTCTGTGTCGTCAAGAGGGAAGAGGTCGTACTGGCATTCATAATTCATCGCTGAGCTATTCCCACGAATCCAAGTGGCCTGTTGACTACTAACCCGGGCTGAGATATGCTGAACTCTGTAAATATTATCTGAATATTGCAACACTTGATGATATACTGGACCTGTGATGATGATATACTGGACCTGTACCCCAAGATTGACTATGCAATGCATCAGTTATGTAGTGTGTGTAATGTAACTAAAACTATAGCTTGTAAAAGCATCTTAATCACCCTCTGTCGTTGAGCTGTTAATATCACACTATACTTTCTATAGCAGAATTTTACCCTGTCAGAGCAGGAGAGACCTAAATTTATACATGTGTATGTGTGTATATATATATATATATATATATATATATATATATATATATATATATATATATATATATATATATATATATATATATATGCAAACAAGCCTGAATGGTCCCCAGGACTATATACAACTGAAAACTCACACCGAGTTCGAGTCACTTCTGGGGTGTGAGTTTTCAGTTATATATATATATATATATATATATATATATATATATATATATATATATATATATATATATATATATATATATATATATGCGTCCATATTTACTTTCTCTCGGACCACAACGAATAATGTCTTTCATACAGCACTGTTCTTCCTGTAAAGTTTAATTATGCCAGTCTTTCCTCTTAGTTCTATGGTCCTGGTCAAGTGGAATATATCGTTTTGTGTTTAACGAAATAAGGATTCCACGCTGGTCCTGCATCTTAAAAAAATTTGGTCTGATGTACGTGGAATACAAGCATGGTCATACAAACGACAAACTGCACGGATATTTCTGCATGAGGCATATTTATATATACAAGAGTTATTATATTCTTGTACAACCACTAGCATGCACAGCGTTTCGACCAAAACCTTAATCATAATTTTCACCCGCGTATTTCCAAGACGTAGCCCGTAGCAGCTGTCTAACTCCCAGGTACCTATTTACTGCTTGGTGAACAGATGTATCAGGGTAAAA